TCTTTTTCTTTTTGTTTCTTCATACAAAAATTTGTAAACGAAGAAAACTAAATTAATTACAAAAATCAATGATCAAATAATAAAATTAATTGAATTTACGATGAAATAAAATAAAACTATTACTTTTAATGATAAAAAGTATTTCAAATACAAATAATTGTGTTTTCTTATTTTTCTTTTAATAATTATTTTATTAATTTCAGATTATTCGAATAATTTTTGTATCTTTTTCTTTTTGTTTCTTCATAAAAAAAATTTATGAACGAAGAAAACTAATTCAATTACTTTTTTATCATTTATATTATTTATTTCATTGTTTTTTTATTTTCAATTTAAATTAATTACAAAAATCAATGATCAAATAATAAAATTAATTGAATTTACGATGAAATAAAATAAAACTATTACTTTCCACGATCACACAAGTAGATTATATAAAATTGTATTCGATGTTGACACAACATACTAGTTTGTTTATAGATGCATCTTATGCATCATTATGCATTGTAACCTTTGAATCGTATGGGGAAACTCCTCGCATCTACACGACATTCCATAGGATGATTTTATTGCAACTTTATCTATTCTTAACTATCACTTTTATTTCTTTAACATTTATCTTCCTTATCTCGATACTTCAATCGATTTAAAAAAAAAAAAAGGAAAGAAAAAAAACCAAACTTTTATGCTACTTCGAAAAAATATTTGTCCACTCATTTTATTTTATTTTATTTATAATTCTTTTTTTGTTTTTTTTTTCTAGTTTTTTTCGAAATATTATTCGTAGCACAAATCGTAAAATGAGATTACCTCAGGAACGGAAACTTTCGAACTGCATTGAGGAAACTTTCACCGTGTACAACAACTATGTCGCATAAGCCTCTTTTAACGAGTTACTATTGAAAAAAAAAGAAAAGAAAAGAAAAAGGAACCAACGGAGTCCAATCGTAAGAAAAATAAACGGAACAGAACGGAACGTGTTGCAAAAAAAAAAAAAAAATAAGAAAAAGAAAGAGAAAAGAATACAAATTTTCTTCGAAATTTTTGTGACTCTCAAAAAATGCACATCAGACAAGCAAAATACAAACGAAATATTGAAGTTTTTGGTTGCATAACAAAAAGCAGTAATTTAATTGTATAATAATCTGTAAAATTTGATAATCCATTTCACTGAAGAAAGTTTCGTTCCTCCTCCTCCTACTTCAAAAGGAAAAAAAAAATTTTAATAATAATAAATGAAATAAAATAAAAAAGAAACCAGGTGGTGCATGTGCCACAAACATTTATATTGATTTAATTATTCAATTAAATATTTATTTGTAAGATTAATACGAACACAGATAATTTGATTATCTTTAATAAATACTTTAAAGAATCAAATTGTTCCTTCTTCGAATAGAAAAAAAAAAATAAAATAAAAAGAAACGTAACACACATATATGCCAAAGAGAAATTATACAATTGAAATATTTTTAATTGGTAAGATAAATCACAAAACACGCAACAG